ATTTTCATTTATGCCGGTCTGGTGTTGATAAATGACAGATTTGGGTACATCAACAGCTAAAGAAGCAAAAGAATATTTTTCTAATATGGATCGTCATCGTATTATATTTAAATATGAATCAATAAAAGATGATCTTGTTATACAATTAGCATTTCATAATGCATTAAGTAATGATCGAAAAGATTTAATTAAATAGCATACAGAAGATGTTAATCCAATATATGAACAAAATTTAATTTACCAGCTGATTATTTATATAAAAAAAGATTCAAAACAAATAAACTTTAATGATTTTATTAATGAAGAACTTGTTCTTTTTTTCCAAATCAAATTTTGAACGTGCAATTCCAAGTATTATGGTAAATGAATTAATAATAAAATATTCATTTTTTTTCTCAAATAATTATTTTTAAAGGATGATCTTAAACCTGATCAATGTAAAATAATATTTGTTTGTTTTACAAAACATTTAATATGTGAAATAAAAGTTGAACAAATTAGCTGGTAAAGTTGCGGAAAATTCCGCTTATCATCATGATGAACAATCATTAATAGATACAGTTGTTGGTCTTGCATAAAATTTTCTTGATTCATATAATATTAGTTTTCGTGTACCGGATGATGGTCAATTAGATATATGTTTATATGGTGGTGATGGTGGTAATGCAGCTTTTGCACATTATATATTTACTCGACTAAGGTAAGAATGAAACAAAAATAGATTTTTATATGCAGAATTTACTTGATTTTTTAGTCCTCTTGCTTTATGATTATTTAATATAAATGATGGAGCATTATTAACATATTTAAAGGAAGATTGAATGAGTATTGAACCTGAATGGTATTGTCCAGTTATTCCAAATGTTCTTCTTAATGGTGCACATGATGTTGGAACAGGTTATTTAACAGGTATTCCATCTTATAATCCATTAACATTATTTAATAATATGAAATATTATATTCAACAGGAATGTGAACGATAACGTCAATTAAATAATTCAAGAAGTCAACCAAAACAAGATCCAGATGTTGTTATATTAGAAGAATTAATTCTATGGTATAGAAATTTTATTGATAAAATAAAATTAATAGATTATGATTGTACACGTGTTGTTATTAATGATGTTTGTTCTAAACTTGATGAAACATTTATTGAAATAACTGATTTATCAATTGGTATCTGCTCCAAATGATCAACGTATTACACCAATTATTGATCCAGCATTTGTTAAAAAATTAATGAAGGACTTATTATACGTAATCTAGCATGTTTTAAAATTCTTCTTTTATTTAATTAGAAAAAGTATTTGTTTAAAAGTATTGCTGATAAACGAACAATTGTTGAATATCTTGTTACAGAAGATATTAAATCAGAAGAAATATCTGAAACAATATAAAGACATTGTAAGGATAAGAAGAAAATTGATAATACATACTGAATGAATGATCAATGATTGTTCAGTCTTTTCAAAGAAATGATATTTATTTCTTTTGTAGATAAGCATGTCCAGCTTACCATTTTTGTCTTCGTGGCTTTTTTTTTACAAAGGTCAATTAAATACTACTTTGGATTATTTTATTTTGTTGTCACACTATTGTTGGATACAAAAGGGATATATTATTGCAAAAGCTAGAACAGGAGAGGTAAAAAATTTGTTTTACATATTGTTTAATAATTTATTTTATAGGAAGAAATTGTATCTTTTGATAAAGATAGAACGGTGTTGCATTGATTCTATACAAAAAAGAAGGTCTCAATGTTACTGTCTCACAGCGTGTTGATGCATACTCATACTATTTTACTGTAGTGATAAATAACGGTAAAGAAAATAGAGATTTTATGGCAATTTCGGATTATTTCGTCGATGGAAAATTTGTCAATATGGAAAGTTTTATCAGAAAATTTTGTGGTAAAATAAATAAGGTTGTTCGTAAACATAAACGTAAATCACGTCCACCACCACCACCACCACGTGCATGAGACTTTCAATTGTTCGTGAAATCATCTATTTCTCTTTTTTTTTATTTTATTGTCTTTTTTTTCAAACAAGAACAGTGAATAAATAAAAGATTCACACGCACATGAATTTTTTTGATTACCTGATTAATTTATATACATTTTTGGGATAATAAAAATCAGAACATTTAATCAAAATCATCATCATCTAAAAAAAATATGAGCCTTTTTAGGAGTATCTTCACGTTGTCAACGAGCCTAAAGAATAACAAAATTCATTTTTGCTAGGCTATATTCACAACAGCATTTGACCTTTTATTTTCTTTATCACTTGATCAAGAATTTTTCTTTCATACGTTTTCACACTTATATTGATTCAATTTTGGATCTCTCTTCCAAGACAAATATTATTATTCAGATGTATGATTACAACAAGTTGGTCGTTAACAAGAGCCAATCTCTAAAAGTGTTATACAGTATGTCTTTTATATATTGTCAGAAAAAACATTCACCAGAGTCTCATTGATATTAAACTACGAAAAGAGAATCTTTGAACAAGTTTCGGAATCAATCAATCTTCCATTGATATATAGGAATGGACGTGACTGATCTAACATACAGTTCTCATATTCAATACTCCGAACGAAGGATTTTCGCCAAAGGAAATCCAACTACATCAATGGATACAGCTCGTCAATTTGTACTTGTAATACAAATCGAATATCTCGAACATGTTCCTCAACGAATCTCAGATAACTTTATTTGAATTTTTTGCTATCTTCACCTATGTAAACAAAAAAAGAAATTTAAGAATGAAGGAAAATGATGATTATACCTCCATATTATTGCAATATTTTGATGAATAGAGATAAAAATATTTTGTCTAGAATATATTATCATCGGTAAATATAAAGAAGAAAGATGAAGAATAAAAGTCAATTATTTTTATATCATTCTTGTTTCATTTAGTGAATAATTTTTGCTGGAATGTGTAAAAAGAAAAAGAAATAATATATAGTATATCATGAATCCTCATAACTATTCCATTTATGATGTATTTGAGAAATATAATTCAAATCAAAATACAAAAATGAGTGAATAAGTCTTGTTTTAGTTTAATAATGATAATTAATCTGTCGCTGTTTTTATGGCATTTGTAATTTGTTGAATAATTTTCTTTTCTTATTCTTCATTTATTTTTTTTTCGATGTATTACTCATATAGTTGTATTAGATTCTTTTTCACTATCTGATGTCGGTAAAATATTTTACATCTATTAGAATAAACTTTCTCATTTGCATTTGTCTTTTTCATCAAATGAATCTTTGACATAATTGAATCTTTGTCGACCAGAAATGAGTTGAAGCATCATTTTGCGAAGTTTTAATTTTTAAAATTTTTTATTCAATGCTTCTGTCTAAGCGAGTTGTAAGCTCATTATTGTACAATGACATTGTAAGACGTCTGAATGCAATATGCTCTATGTCATAGGTAAAGGTAATAATGTCGATTTCTCTATTTATTCTTCTATGAATCACTCAATTCTACTACAAAAGACGTGACATTAATATCAAGAATTGTGATTACTTTAGAATAATGTTGATTTCTGAATAGACATGTGCGGGACCAAAGTTTTTTAGTCCCGGTCCCGGTAATTTTTTTTTCCAATGGTCCCGGTCTCGGCATAGAGAGAACTATTTTAGAATTTAGTCGCATTAAATCGAAAAAAGTTCTTAAATATTCTATTTTTGGCACTTTGACGTTTCGTCACTATTTTTCATTCCGGACATCCAATGTTGTAGTCCGTTCCGAACATCCGTTTTCTTTAAAAAATCACCACTTTTATGATAGAAATATCGAATGTTCGTAATTAGAAAAACAGGGGTGTTCGGAACGATCATCGAGAAGTAAAACGGATGTTCGAAACGGCAGTGACACACATTTCTGTGTGAGAAACTGGATACTTTTAACGGATGTTTGTAAAGAAAACTATCAGGTGTTCGTAATTAAAATATAGAGATGTTCGGAAGCGAGATCTGCTTCTTTTATTAGTGCAGCACTTTAGTTCTAGCTAACCGATGTTCGGAACGCTCTTCCTTTCACAGCACCGTACATAGTATGTTAGACACATAGTTACAGATGTGAAAGTGTACTGGATTACAAACTTCTATTCACTCTTATATTATTATTTTTTCCGAGTTATCACTTTAGAGATTATGAGAACTACTCTTCTTTCTCTACAGCTCTACATCTAAGTTCGTTTTGAAAGTCATTTGTTTTGTCTTGAACATCCCTATGTTTGCGTTCCGAACATCTGGTAGTTTCGTTTACGAACATCTATCTTTTGTAACTCTGTTATCTAACATAATTCATTCCGAACATCCGTTTTATTGGTTACGGACATCCGTTAAATTTTTTTCCGAACACCCGTTGGAGGATTAAAATGTCAATTCCAAACATCTGGTGTCAAAGAAGGATGTTCGGAATGACAGCGACGAAACGTCTGGAGGCCTCTATTTATAACTAATTCAGTTGTCAAATGTCAGTTTTTTTGGCAATATCTTTCGAATATTGTCTAGATTGATTTGATTTATATCATATTTCGTTGAAAACCATGCAAAATTTAACTACAATTTTTAGCTCTGACATCAATAAAATTTTACTTTTTGGTCCTGGTCGTGATCCCAGTTAGGGGTGGCACTTTAACTTAACTTTAAATTTTAAAGTTTAAAGTAGTACTTTAAACTTTAAAAGGTAAAGTTAAAGTGCACTTTTTCCTATGAAAGTAAACTTTTGTTAGAGATTCATAAAACTTAACCAATATTTATAAAAGTATTAACAACTATTTATGGGCTATGTAACATGACTATTTATAGGTCGTCGACTACCATATAACGGGATATCCTTGAGTCATCAACTACTGTATGAGGAAGATGCTCATAGATGAGTCAAAGGTATAGAATAGTGTTATCTGTAGGTTATCGAGTGCTATATAAGTGGGTTATGAATAGCTTACTAACTACTAAATAACGGTAGTAGCTATTGGTCACCTGCTACTATGTAATTAGGATAACTATAAACTTTCAAGGGTTATGCAAAGTGAGTATACGATACTCTTCATATCTTCTGTCGTAGAACTACTCATGAATGGTGATATACCATGTTAGGCTGATTCTCATTTCTGCTTATTAACCATCTAAGCTAGCTTTTCATAGTAGACCTTGAACTGTGTACAGGTAGTTTACATAACTCATCATAAATAATACAGAAATGATTTCTGATATTTCTCAGCGAGATTCCAGATGGAAGACCGTGGTTGATAGATAGCATTTTGATGTTGATTTTTAATGATCATGTATGGAATGTGTTTCGATGTCTGAGTACGCGTCCTCTTCATTCACAGTTTAACAAAATCACGATAATCTTTCATTGTGATCGAAATCACACTTCATGTTCTCTTACACGGTTTCCGTTCTAATATTTCATTTTTTTAATCGTATTAAATTATTTGTTTTGTATATGAGTGATGTCTTTCAAGTAATTCTTGTGTCCAACGTTAATTCGATCAGTACTATGTACGTGTTTTTGTTTAAGTTGCCTGATTCTGTATGTACAGGTACGGAAAATATCTATACCTCAGTTTGATCTTGTCTCGCTTAGTTAGTGACACTTTTGAGTGTTACCACTCCGGATCCACTATAGATCTAGTAAGGATCTGATTTACTGGAAAGAATGTCGAAAATTAAATACTGAAGTCAAAAACTATAGAAACAAATGATGTCTTCTAGAAATTGGTACTTTAATCACGTATATTCCACCGTTCGGTTTTTATAATGTTGGTAGTGTAGATTTTTATCTAGTAGTAATAGTGATGAGTAATATTTAATATAAATCGTTTCAAAGAGCTGCATGAAGAACTACTATGTAATTAAAGTTCTATCGTTCTGGCTGAAGCTGTTACAGTTTCAACAGCCGTAATGCAATCAAAATCTTTAGCCATTTCATTTGTCAATTAACATAAATCTCAACTTTCATGGATAGCAGATGAATATGCGTTTAGATTGACTAAAACAACGCTCACTACTAAGTATGGAATGAGTACGACTTATGAACGAACAGTTTCGTGAACACTCAGGAGGAAGACTAAAACAAGTGAAAATGATTGCTATTCAACACCGTAAAGATAATATTGGCGAATGATATTATAACGGTGTTGTAAATACTGTAAAAACAAGTTAGATGATTTTTGATTTACAGTAGCTAAATGAAAGAATGACGTAGCATCGATCTTATTGATTACTTATATTTGATCTCTGTCACAATGTTAATACCGATTGATATCTTAAAATATGTTCTTGACTACTTAGAATTCTTTGAACTACTTAACGCTCGTTTTCATACAGGTTTTTGTTTATCCGAAATGTTCCCCATAGACATATTGTTCTTTCGGCATTTTGCCCTTCGTTCTTTCGATAATTTCTGTATCAGTCAAATAATTGAATGATGTCAGGTAAAAAGTTTAAGATATTTAACATTTATTTTATTTTATCTGGCAGAATTTCTTTTAAATTCAATAGTTTCAATAAGTCAAAGTAAACAATCAAAAGAAAGTTTTTTTTTTCAAAATTAAACTTAAAATTAATCACACACTAGAAATATTACCAAATCAAATATCTGCTGCGAATATGATTATTTTAAAATATAAAAGATAATTCCGCATATGTCCCTTCATTTTTATTTTAAAGAGGCTATGAAAATATGTCATTCTGTATAACACATTAGCCATATTTCATACCATCTGTGTCTTAATTGTTCGAATATATATAGAAAGTTGGCTTAAATAATTTTTTCTTTTTGGCTATGAATCGTATAGTTGATCCTAGACTGAAGAAAAGGAAACATTGTCATTATTGACATAGACATAATTATCTATCAAATGCACTTAAACTTGAATGAAAATTCTAGTAGAACATAAATATCAAGTAAATTTTTTTTTATGAATTGCAAGTCCTTATAATTGTACT